ACTTAAACTATGTGCTTACGTTTATTAAATTGTAGGTTGGGGTGTAGCGAAGATAAGGCACGACATGGTTCGTTGGGGTGTGATGAAGAAGAGAACGACATGGTTTGTTGTGGTGTGACGAGGAAGAGCACGACATGGTTCGTTGGGGTGTGATGAAAAAGATCACGACATGGTTCGTTGGGGTGTAACGAAGAAAAGCACCACATGCATGGTTCGTTAGGGTATGACGAAGTAGAGCACGACATGGTTAAAACGGGTATGAATCCACATATATTCCGAGACACGTGTCTTTACGATAAACCGTGTGCTCTTTTTATCGCTTCTACCATTGCTTACATAGAGGCCTGCTCAAATTAAAAATTTTATCTCGTGTCTGACTTATCTATTTCCTCATGCTGTGTCACAGTTCATACCTGTCATTGTATTCGATATTTAGTCATTGTTCACTTCAAGTTGATGTGGAAAACAATACTTCATTCTAAATAAAAGTACCCTAATGTTACACTTGTCACAGAATTAAGATAAATTCACATTTAAGTTAGTGGCATAGTATTTTCCTCCTTGAATAAAGCAAACTTTACGTTTACTGCCATGTCTTAAAGATTTGCACGGAACTGCCCAACCCCACCCCACCTCCCCTAAGTTAGTGGCATAGTATTTTTCTCCTTGAATAAAGGCAAACTTTACGTTTACTGCCATGTCTTAAAGATTTGCACGGAACTGCCCCCACCCCACCCCAAGTTAGTGGCATAGTATTTTTCTCCTTGAATAAAGGCAAATTTTACGTTTACTGCCATGTCTTAAAGATTTGCACGGAACTGCCCAACCCCACCCCACCCTAAGTTAGTGGCATAGTATTTTTCTCCTTGAATAAAGGCAAATTTTACGTTTACTGCCATGTCTTAAAGATTTGCACGGAACTGCCCCCCCCCAAGTTAGTGGCATAGTATTTTTCTCCTTGAATAAAGGCAAACTTTACGTTTACTGCCATGTCTTAAAGATTTGCACGGAACTGCCCAACCCCACCCCACCCTAAGTTAGTGGCATAGTATTTTTCTCCTTAAATAAAGGCAAATTTTACGTTTACTGCCATGTCTTAAAGATTTGCACGGAACTGCCCAATCCGAACCCTTCTAAGTTAGTGGCATAGTATTTTACTCCTTGAATAAAGGCAAACTTTACGTTTACTGCCATGTCTTAAAGATTTGCACGGAACTGCCCCCCCCCAACCCCCCAAGTTAGTGGCATAGTATTTTACTCCTTGAATAAAGGCAAACTTTACGTTTACTGCCATGTCTTAAAGATTTGCACGGAACTGCCCAACCCCACTCCCCTAAGTTAGTGGCATAGTATTTTTCTCCTTGAATAAAGGCAAACTTTACGTTTACTGTCATGTCTTAAAGATTTGCACGGAACTGCCCAACCCCAACCCCCACCAAAAAAAATAATTTCTAAGCAATGAAAACTGAATCTACAGGTAAATTTATATATGCTAGTTAAGTACATTAATGGTTTTACGAAGATATTCTTGTTTTCCTATTCTGCCAACCGTAAAAAGTTTTTTCTTTAATCTATCTTAAAATTTCAATCTTGAATATAAAAAATTAGTTGCTGTTTGTTTGTTTTTTCTTTATATTTTTTTATACGTAGGACAACCATTTTGAATTAGAATTTAAATTACTTTACTCACATGGCATCGGCCAAAACCGTCGTTTCATTACTTTTACTTAAACACTACTGCCAAGATACCTTTTGATTGGATAAAGAGTTGAAGTAACAAACGACGAAAATAGATTGGATTCCAATAAGCGCATCTTTCATAATGAACATTCTTTTATTAGAATGTAGATTATATATTGTCTGCTGATTCCACTAATACTACTACTATATTGTCTTAGGTTTAAATGAACATTTCAGAAGAAACTTTGTACTCTGGTGCCACCAAAATCATCACCACCGCCACTATATCTGCTGCTTCTACCACTACTACTACTACTACTACTACTACTACTACTACTACTACTACCAATATTGCTGCTGCTACTGCTGCGGTGACAACGACGACAACAAAGATTTCTGGTTCCGCGACTGTTACGAACAAGACACACGACAATCGAGTGGGAAACTACGACTGTCAAAAACAAAATGGAACTCGTACCGGACATTTAAATCATCTTCCAGTTTTCACGATATGCAAGAAAATCAACGATCACTTGTTGCAAATACTATTATGCGCAAAAGGGTTTACATGATTTTTATTGACTCAATTACAGTCTACCAATAAGTCTGAGAAACTAGTTCAAAATTTTCAAACTCTTTAACAAAGTATAACAAGTATTATAGAAAGATATAAAAATTTATATTTGTTTCTTAATTCTCTCTCTCTCTCTCTCTCTCTCTCTCTCTCTCTCTCTCTCTCTCTCTCTCTCTCTCTCTCTCTCTCTCTCTCTCTCTCTCTCTCTCTCTCTCTCTCTCTCTCTCTCTCTCGTTTAGAAAAAGTACTCGCATATTTTGTAACAAGCATCATTGAGCCATTGACCTTTCGACAAAATATCCTGAAGCACTTAGAAACAATATACTGTCTACAAAACGAGTTAATTTTCCCACTTAGCATCTATTAATAATGAAAAGCCTGTCCTATTAATAGAAAACCCCAAATTCTTTCAAAAGATGACATAATTATCTAATAAGCAGAAGTTTTGGCTGATAACCGGGACTTCTTTATGAGGCTCCACAGTAAAGCTCAAAATAGATCACCTGAGATCCAGTTCTTCAAATTTATGCTTTCATAACGTTCTTTGTACTTCATCTCAGCTGGTGTTTTCTTGGGTTAGGAACCATTGAAGAAATTTGATCACACGGATGAGCACGAGCCTGTCAATTAAGTGCCACATAAAAGCCATTCCAATGGTCCACTGATGTAATAATCATCGGGAGGGAATATTTCAGCACATTCTGGGTCAAACAGACGGACAGAAGCTCGTGCCGTTTGTACTACTATATTATGCAATATTGCAAATCGGCATAATTTTAACAATTCACTTCCAATTTTCATGAAATTGTCACCTTATATCTAAAATTTCCCTGTGATTGGTAGTGATTATGTTACCTCTTAAGGAAAAAAAAAAAACGCCTATCATACCAAAAAAATTATTATTAGTAGGTGATGCCTACTATAACATTTAATATGAATGTATTTTTATAATAATAATAATAATAATAATAATAATAATAATAATAATAATAATAATAATAGTAACAACAACAATGACAACAAAAATCATCATTAGAACAATTTTGTTTTTGTTGCTATTACTATTATCATTATAGATGTTGTTGCTCTATTTCTATTATTATTATTATTATTATTATTATTATTATTATTATTATTATTATTATTATTATTATTATTATTATTATTGATGCTGTTGCTTCTATTATTATTATTATTATTATTATTATTATTATTATTATTATTATTATTATTATTATTATTGATGCTGTTGCTTCTATTATTATTATTATTATTATTATTATTATTATTATTATTATTATTATTATTGATGCTGTTGCTTCTATTATTATTATTATTATTATTATTATTATTATTATTATTATTATTATTATTATTATTATTATTATTATTATTATTATTATTATTACTACTACTACTACTGCTACTACCACTACTACTACTACCAGCTGCCACACGTCTTACGTGATTTTAATCAGTGAATACGAACGAGATAAACCTGGCATGTTTGACACCTGTATACAAGACAAGATGTGTCTAAACATACTAGTGAGGAATTTACAACCGATCCCTATCAAAGCTGTGGGTTTTTTTAGACAAAGTGATTGCCAAGGAATTTGTTACGGCTGTTTATTGCCTATCTCTCTGCCTCCATCTACATCTCTACAAAAAAGCATGTACTACCAGCAGTGGATTAGCAACCACCCAAGAAATTCCAGTAACTCACTGGGGGATAGGGTGGGGGTTGGGGTGGGGTGGGAGCAGAGCATGTCCTTGGGTAATAAAGATTACTATTAAAAACATTTTATTTATTGGGAGGCGCTCCTAGAATGAAGTTTCGCGTGAGGGGAGGGGGCATTATTTCGTCGTTCATCACTGATTAACAATTCTCAATAGCTTGAATAGTGGTACCTGTAATAAGGCATATAAGATATGTATTATTAACGGACCATACGGGATATCATCTTTTTACTGCATATGCAAATGTAACAGTTGCAGTGTTGGCGAATTTCCTATTCACTCTCCTATCACACCGACCTATCCTCTATCTTTATCCTATAGCCCTCTGCTATAACCTAATTATATAGCCATAACATACAACCCTAACTCATGGCCTTATCATATAACCCTATCTTTATATAGCTCTGTCCAATAACACTATCATTCTATAGCCGTCTCCTACAACCATATCCTATAGCAGTATCATATAACTCAAGTTCTGTTCTATTGCCGTATCATATAGCCTGACCAATAGCAATATCATATAGCCCTATATAGCAATATCCTATATCCCTATCCTATAGCCGTATCATATAGCCATATCCTATACCTGTATCTTACAATTCTTTCTTATAGTTTTACTCTATACTACAGCATTCTTTCTAGCTTTATCATATAGTCGTATCATATAGCCGTATACTATAGCTCTATCATAAAACTCTAATAGCCGTATCGTATAACTCTATCATTGTCGTTTAGCTATTTCCTATAGCTTTATCTTATAGTCGTATCCTATATCTCCTATCATACAGCCGTATCATATAACTTTATCCTGTAGCCGTATCGTATAGCCGTATCCTGCGACCCTATCATATGCTAGTTTGTAGGCTCAAAGATACACAAAAGCAACACCTAAATAATACAGTAGCTAAACATATGCATTAAATATTCTCATAAACAATTAATTTCAGGAACAAAAAGCATTCAAGTTATGCGGAAAATCAAGATTTAAAACAAGATTTATGCCGCGTGGATCAGTTGATAGAGCGACAGACTCGTAATCCATAGGTCGCGGGTTTGATGCCCGCCTAGATAAACATGTGTCGTCTGCCCCGGTATGTATGTATATATATATATATATATATATATATATATATATATATATATATATATATATATATATATATATATATATATATATATGGTAAAGGCATTTATCTATATCTCCCATTTTGGCAACATGATGTTTCAAATAATGTTTTAAAAGTGCAATTTTAAAAAAATAATGCTGTAAAAGACAAATCAAAATGAACATCAATCTTTAGCTTGGCAGGCGGTCGTGTAATCCACTATACCATGGACGCGGGAAGAATCGGCAGGTCACATAATTGGAGTGGAATTATTATTCCTCGCATCTCTTTTGTATTTGTTTGCAAAGAAGTTTCATGAAAAGTCTTGAATGAATCATAAAGTTGCTTGACTTTCTATTTTTCACTGATATTAGTATGATAACGCGTGGGCTATCTCATTGTCCCATGAAGCGCTGGCTCATTCAGCTTCGATGATAAATGCAATCCAGAAATAACTTTTTTCCATGAACTGGAAAGATTGTGTCGGGAGAGGCATGGCTACACATATTCTCCTGATTTTTTCAGCTTTATCGAAAATACAAGGTGCTTAAAGATTTATTCTGCTTAGGGCAGTAAACCGTTACGGACCTTGATATAAAGAGCAAAGCAATATTTCACTCTGAGTCCGCAACAGCCATGTATGAATAGATTCATAATACTCAACGACCGGTTTATACAGGCTTCTTTTATAGCCAAAAAGCATACTGGATAATCCGTGTTTTAGGACATGTATACAACGCAGATTAATTGGTGATGGTAAATGGGGGATGGATGGTATCATATAAAAATGGATCTCTTGAGTAGAAATTAAAAATGGGCAAAAGTAAAACAAAAAAAAAAAATAAGAAAGAGGATTTAATTTCTCAAATTACACTTACTTAGGTATGTTATAACGAACAGCTGTTTGAAACATTTCGTTGTCAATGATTTAATACAACTTATATATATATATATATATATATATATATATATATATATATATATATATATATATATATAACGTATTATTCTTACGAAGGAAATATCAGTGAAACATACAATTTGATGCGCAGTATGTCTATTAGAGATAACAAAAACAAAGTGAGAAAAAGTTTGATAAATAATGTGTTTGATCGATGTACTTCTAGTCACGAGTATAATGATAAACATCTTTCAAACGTTCTCACGGAGAGTAGCTCTTGAAATGGAAAACAAAGAATAATATGTAATGCTACACATTAGGTTACCAGAAAATACTGAACTGACGAAGAGTCATTTCTCGCTAACCACGTTATCTCATTCGCCTAACATTTTCTTTAAATCCAGTTTCCCTCCTTTAATAATAATATCACTCTATAAGAAGCACATTTTCAGTTGATACTGAAGATTTCAGAAAAAGTAAATATAAACTTATCAAATTGTTACAAGCATTTAGTTTATGTAATTATGCGTCATCTTAATCAGAAAATATGTCTTTACCTAATGGTTTACACACAGTCCATTTTGAAAACCTTATCGTAATCATTTGAATTTGTTTAGACACTAAACTGCTCTTCATGTCCAGTTGGGATAGTGAAACATGCCAAGGTTTTCATTCATGGCAGACAATTTTAACAAGTCACATGTCATAAGTGTAATCAACATGTTTAAAAAGTTCTCGTAATGGCTTTATCTAAACTATTCCAGCACGCCCGAATTCCTCCGGTACCATATGTGCTTGCTACGATATTAGTCCGGCCCGGCGTGTCAACCGTACCCAGTCAATAACAACGTGACACGCAAGTGGCACAAAGTTGACATCCTCATACCTCCGCTGTGACTGGAAATTATTGTTGTCGAGTATGTCACATTCATTGTTATATCTAATCTAAAATAATTCTAAACAGGATGGGATAATGAAAAACATTTACAAATGCGAGACAGGATTTTGTAGTGCACGACTTTTATTTGTTAATGGACAAAAAGAAATGTGCAACGTTGATGACATCAGATATTTCATTATTAGACTGATATCGCTCGAAGTGAATCAAATTTAATTACTTTACATAGATAATAATATATTGAATAATCACTAAGACAATAAATAGCTCTTAAAAAAATTAATTTATCAAAAGTACGTTCGATCCCAATCGGAGAGCAATAATTGTTCATCATAAACAAGTAGAGAAGGAATGTCAATAGTTGATTATATTCTTTACGATAATGTTTTTACAGGTTTTGTTTTCTTTCGCATGTTACTTGTTTATTTGGAGAAATATATTCTACCACAAACAATCAAATGTTCTTTTTGTTTTTTTTTGCTTGTTTGTTTTTGTTTGTCTCCGGCCCACCCAACCTTCACCGTTTACGATATTTAAACGTATTATTCAGCCGTATCAACCTTTGACCGCTTGTTTTGGACGTTTGACGTTGGCACAAAGATTCGTGTAGCTACAAAACAGGATTCCATATCGCAGAGATCAAGAAGTTTCTGATACTTTTGAAGTTAAAATTAGACGTACTACATAAAAGATATACAGAGATTTTCTCCAACAATTTCTAAGTGTTTCAGCATTATAAAAAGTGTCCATAAAAGGGACTGATGCTATAGTGGGCGAAAACATATTCATAAATAAAAAATAAGAGCATTTATTCATTTTAACTGTCAAATATTGAAACCATGATAATCATCAGTAATAACTAGATCCTAAAATTAGCTAATGTGGTACACATACTGGATGTCAGCTCGGTACCATTTTCTTTTAGGTCAAGGTAGACATCATTAGAAGTGTTTTGGTGAAAACCACCTATCATCCAGTCACAGGGCTTGGTGACAACAAGAGTGTTAAGACAGCTACCGTGGCTGCTATTTTACATGCATGATTGGCACGAGTTTCATTTAGGACCAACATGGTGTCAAAGGAAGTACATCAGTCTAAATCCCATGTTAATATAGCCATCCATTTGAAGTAACAATAGTTTCAAAATGTGACATTCCATTCAGTAGCTACTGTGGCGGCCATATTGGACGGTAGGTGGGCACCAATTTCAGATAAGATCCATCTGGACATCTTAAGAAAATGTCTATTGAAAACCATACGTAGATATGACTTTTGTTGAGGTAAAGCTGTGGTAAGAATATTTTTGCGATGGCTTCCATGGCGAGCATATTGGCTGTCCTACCGGCACCATTTTCATCCAGGACCAGCTGAACATCATAAAAAGTCTTTTGTTAAAACCCAGTGTTGAAATGTCGATTCGTGTAGGAGGATGTGTAATGAAAAGATTCCAAGATGGCCACTATGGCGGCCATATTGGATGTTAGATGGGTACTATATTCACTTAAAGCCAAGAAGATATCACAAGAAGTCTTTAAGTGAACACTCAAAATTGATATTACCATCCATTCAAGAAGTGGGGGCCCCGAGTGGCCGAGTGGTCTAAAGCGCTGTCCGTTACGGATCACTGCCATCTCACCTCTGTCTGCGTGAGTTCGAGTCTAGGATTCGGCGAATATGGATATGTGAGAAAGCTTGCCAGTAGCTTCTCATGGGTCCGTGGTTCTTTCCGGTTATTTCCCGGTTTCGTCCTCCACCAATAATACTGGCCGCCATGAATAGCCTATCTTGTGCTGAAAAATGGCGTTAAGCCCAACAACAACAACAACAACAACCATTCAAGAAGTGTATCTACGCGTTTTTAAAATGGCGTCAATGGCAGCCATATCGGTGTCATATCAGCAACATTTTCGTTTAGGACTAACTAGATTCATAAAAAGTCTTTTAGTGAAAAGATCATGTCGATAAGATCATGCCTGAAGGAGGAGTAGCTATAACAAGATTTCCAATATGGCCACCACATAACGAGTAGCACCATTTTCATTCGGGATCAACTAGAACAAGGGATTATATATATATATATATATATATATATATATATATATATATATATATATATATATATATATATATATATATATATATATATATATATATATATGTATGTATGTATGTATGTATGTATGTATGTATGTATGTATGTATGTATGTATGTATGTATGTATGTATGTATGTATGTATGTATGTATGTATGTATGTATGTGTGTGTGTGTGTGTGTGTGTGTGTGTGTGTGTGTGTGTGTGTGTGTGTGTGTGTGTGTGTGTGTGTGTGTGTGTGTGTGTGTGAAGTTTTATGGCAATCCTCCATATAGTATTGGAAGAGTATTGATAAACTTTTACTAAAGGACGACAGACAATAGACCATCCATCTTTTGGTCTACGATGGACTTTATTAAACTCACACTAAACTATCAAAGCTGTGAAGGACATAAGATTACAAGATTGGCCCAATTTCTTTAAATTAAAGTTCTAGTTCGGTCGCTTTAACTGCTAAAAGGCAAATAAAAACGTGAAAATTATATGAAATGGCTGGAAAGCAAATCAGTACTGATTCGAGATAGTGAGTCCTAAGTGAACGATTTCGTCGCAACGGAAACTTCCAGACATGTGCGATAATGATCTGGACTCCTGATAAGAAAAAACAAAACATTAACGTCATGATTATTAGCGCTAAAGCTGAACAATTAAAATAAGAGCTCATTGGTTGAGGTTTTGCTCTAAAGTATCATATGCTAGTAAATAAACGAGTTTTGATAGGATCATTGGGATTGCGCATGCGAATTTTGGTAGGAGGGGAAGAAGTCACTTAACATTTGTAAAAGGAGCATTATCTTATCATTCCAACTTCTCGGTTTTGACAAGACATTTCTTTTACAAAAATGCCAATTCACCCAAAATAATCAAAATTATCAATCTAGAATAAATGTTTCATGCCAGAATGTAAGTTCTGTTTTCAGACATAAGGATTCCATGCTTATTAACAAGGCTGAAAAAGAAGCCGATGCCAAAATATTAGGACAAAGTCAAGAAAATCCGTAAAGTCATAATTTGACTCAAAATAATCCACTGTTGCGGCACCATAGTTACAGATATAATTGACACACTAAGATGAA